ATTTTTTAAAAAATGTAACTAAATTTGTAATTCTTAATATTTTCGGAAGTAACTGTAATGAATTACAGTTACTCTTTTTTTGTAATTAAATTACGTAACGTCTTTACATGTAATCCGTTACTCCCCAACACTGCTCTGGAGGCACGTCTGAACTTAATGTGGACAAGCATAAAAAATGAAACAGCAGGCGCTTTTTTGATGCTCAAAGCGCGTCTCTGACGTCGCATCAGGGTCAGGGCGCAAACAGGGCTTAAAACCAATGAGAATCAACACACAGTCCTCACTACACTTAGCAAGGAGGGGATGTGTGTGCTGACCGTTCAGACTGGCCTCCACAACGTCCTCCTGCTTCTCCACCACCTCAGGGATCCTCAGGTAGGCCACGCCCACATCCTCACACTCCCTCTCCTGCTCCTCTTCCTCCGGCGGCTCGCTCACCACCGTGAACTGGATCCTGTGGGAGACACACCATCATCATCCTCAGTTAGCGATCAGTTCGGCATCAGAAGATGTGATGATGGTGAACGGTGGAGCGTGTTTTGATGATATCAGCATTCAGTCAGATGTTTGTTTCTCCATCAGACACTTAAAGGATTCATGAAGGATGATGAAGTGAAACTTCATTATTACAGTCATGAAAAATCAGATGAAAAAACTCGATTTCTGAACATAAAAAGGGATTTTTTTTTTTATAAATTAATCCAAAACTAACCCTGATTTACTCAGACTGAATCTTAGGGGTAGTTTACACTTTTCTTGGATGCAAAGGTTTTCTCCCCTCAGGCAAGAACCTTTAGAGGAACAGAAGAGGCTAAAGCAGGTCCTGTGATGTTTGGATTCTTTGAGCATCTTGAAGCCCAGTGAACTGAACTACACTGCATTGAACTGAAGTGCACTGAACCAAACTACACTGGAATAATCTGAACTGCACTAAACTGAACTGAATTACACTGAACTGAACTGGACTGGACAGTACTTAACTGGACTTCCCTGATCTTGAACTGTACTGCACTGAACTGAACTAGACTGAAGTAGACTGAACTGAACTACACTGAACTAAATTGGACTGAACTGAACTGCACTGAGCTGAACTGCAGTGAACTGAACTGAACTGAACTGGACTGCACTGAACTGCACTGCACTGAACTACAGTGAACTGAACTGGACTGAACTGGACTGAACTACAGTGAACTAAATTGGACTGAACTGAACTGCACTGAGCTGAACTACAGTGAACTGAACTGGACTGAAGTAGACTGAACTGAACTACAGTAAACTGAACTGAACTGCACTGAGCCGAACTTAGCTGAACTGGACTGAACTGGATTGCGCTGAACTGAACTAGACTGAAGTAGACTGAACTGAACTACAGTGAACTAAATTGGACTGAACTGAACTGCACTGAGCTGAACTGCAGTGAACTGAACTGAACTGGACTGCACTGAAGTGAACTGAACTGAACTGGACTGAACTGGACTGCGCTGAACTGAACTAGACTGAAGTAGACTGAACTGAACTACAGTAAACTGAACTGAACTGCACTGAGCCGAACTGAGCTGAACTGAACTGCACTGAGCTGAACTACAGTGAACTGAACTGAACTGGACTGGACTGAACTGGATTGCGCTGAACTGAACTAGACTGAAGTAGACTGAACTGAACTGACCTCAACTGCACTAAAGCCAAAGACCAACTCGCTGGTTTTAACATCTGATATCAGGTAATGACTCCTTTAGCTTCTGAGTGATTAGCTCAAATCATCACTGCTGCTTAGGTGGGAGGATAAAAAACCCAACAGCTAACAGCGCCAAGGCCTCAGACACCGTCCCCCATGTGTGATGTCTGTGTTTTTGGAGGGGCTGTACCAAAACTGATATTTCACCCTACTGGAGTACTGCTCCAGGCTGAGTGACAGAGTCTGTTTGACCTGCCGTCCACAGCATGGTGAGTATGCAGGAGAACACTGCTGTTGTTCTAAATCGTCATCGTCGTCATGGACGGTATGGGAGAAGATCTGAGGAGGTTTTTAAATGGTCTCACTGAACCAAAAGAGGACAGAGAAAAGCTGAAACACCTGATTAGTAGCAGGAAGTTCAGCTGTGGAATCTGCTCGATGGACTTGGGTCGATCAATTCAGAGAGTGAGTTCATAACATATCAGCTGTCTCAATCCCTGTCTCACCGTTTTCTCCTCCTTACCTCTCCATCTGAGCGTTCCGTCCGCGCAGGACTTCCCTCAGCAGTCGCCGCCTCGCTCTGTTGTTCTCTGCATCCACAGGAATCACTGCAGGAAGACAAACAGCCAACAAGGATCTGAATCAAACACAATAAACCTGGAGGGATTTCTTCCTCTGTCATCATCATCACTATAAAACACGTCAGCCTCATTTGCTTATGAAAGGCCATGTGAAGGATGAACCCATGAGGAACGCCAGTTTATTTCCACTTATATTTCTATGTCACTCAGATCTTCCTCTGCTCTAACCATGTTCATGGTTAGAGCAATTCCTCACACTAAGCATGCTTGTAGCGACAGTGAAGAGGGGAAAACTCCAGGAAGAAACCTCCTGTGGAACCAGGCTCAGTGTGAGCGGCCATCTGGGGTTCAAGGAGGCAGAAACAGAGATACAAAGCAGCCAGCCAGGCAGACGAGCTCCAAGCCAGCTCCCATGTCAGAGGATGAAGAGAGCAAGTCCAACCAGTCACAGTCAGAGAAACAGGACTAAACTGAAAAACAGGCCGATCTCTAACATCTATAAACAAAGGTGTTTATGGCAGCAGCAGAATACTTGGATATCTAAACCGTGCAGGGCGTTGGCTGTGGATGATGGACACCCCGCTTTAGGGGCTCAGTATAAACCAACCTGGAAAGATCGACTGACTTTAGATCTGGCGCGTTCAGGTAAAACAGGTGAAGCACTGTTTGATCAGTCACATCCGAACATGCAGAGCTGCAGATTTCTACCAAAACAAGCTGTTATCCTGAAGGGATCAGAGTCAGAGATGGTCAGACTGAGAGCCACAGAGCTGCAGCAGGAACAAAGTTCAGAGCAAGCAGAGTCTGCTTTAGCATGTAGAGGCATCAGTTCTGATCACATTCACCCAGGAGGAGGACCTATCCACACTTATTGTCCAGCTGTCAGGGACAGATGCCCGTTTATCAGACCATGTCTTCACAGAACCAATCACAGCCGGCCCTGCCCGGACGCTGTGATTTCCTGGAAGAGGATGGGAATCTGTGTGGAAACCACAGCATACTTTGTTCTGTTCCTCTAGGAACAGCGTATAAAAGATGTTTTGAAAACAAACACATTAACTCTGATCAGCTCTGTGATATGGAAGGTTTTTGCTGTTCCAGCAACTTTAAAGGAATAGTACACCCAAAACATGATTAGCCTTCATTTTCTACTCACCCCCATGCTGAACAACACTCTGGAGTACTTTTTTGAT